ATCAAGATCCATAATATAGCTCCTTCACCATAGCAAATTTTCAATCTCATTATTAGCTAGTCTAGATGAACTGACCTACATGAGCCTAGGGAAAGGGGTGGGCCCCAACTCACAGAGGAACCCTAGCCCCAAGATTGCTCATAATCGTTGGGAAAGAAGACAAGCCACCCAAACCAGGTTAGGAGAGATGAGAAACAAATTCCTACACTTAAGGTTGGGTGGTGAGAGGTGAGAGATCTACCATTGAGCTTCAGAATATTTCTCAACATAGGATTTTTTTTTAATCTAAGATTTCTAGATAAACATAATGAAATATATAGTATACAGCTAAATCAAGTTATACAAAAATTATAAAATTGAATAATGACTACTGGGTAAGCAATGTCTTGAAAATGACCAGTTATTACTACAATGGAAACTGAGAAAGTATCATGCCAATCATAAAAACATGCCAATCATGAAAATCATAAAGAGCAAAGTAATATAGAAATAATAGTCTCTAAGGCATATAAAAACCAGGCAAGTCCAAAGGAAATCAAAGGTGCAACAAACAGAGAGAACCGCCCCAAAGATTTCCCTAGAGAAAGGGGGTATTAACAGCAGCAAGAGATTACCGGGCAGTCGACAAATGACACATGTCTCAGAAGCTTCATCCTAGCATTCTCAAATCCAGGTACATCACACATAGGAGTGTCTTCCTTTCCACTTCCATATGCCCTGCAAAGGTTTGGCCAATGTGTCAACATAAATCAAAATTGCAACACATGAGGTGAGCTACAAGATACGTCATTCATCTTCAACAAGAAACTCTACTGGCTCTAACACAAGAATTTAGCAAAATCATGGTTGTCGAGTTACAAGCTCAACTCTGTTGATCATTAGGGCATAACAGATAACATACTTATAGCACATTGGTCGTGGGCACCGATCATCATCACATTTATAAATCTTGGCATTAGCATAACCAAGCTTGATAGTGATATTACGCTCCAGCTCATTCTTAAAACGTACAGTCTGCATTAAATAAATATTAATATAAGAGATATTGAAGGATAAAAAACATTTTCCCAAACCAAACACAAATAATCAGCAGTTGCCCAAACCACATCGATTCATGGAGTAAAGAGATATGCAACAACGAGTTGAACAAATACACGGCTTGCTCCCCCCCATCTAGTTGCATTTAGATCCCTTTCTCATCTATATAGACCCCAATTAAAATCTCCGAAATGCTGAAGTAAAAACAAGAATTCATCCCTTATCTCACTCCTGCTATAAATTCCAAAATCTCTGGTGCAAATCCCCCTACTGACCCTTTCACATTTCCAAAACTCACCCCTACCGTAAAAGTAAAGATCTTTGATCCCATGAAGCTTCCTACCACAATAACCACCATAAACATAAATGGTGACGATGTCTGAAAATCAGGATGGAGTGGACACTGTAATACAAAAAGGTTATAATCCCAAACCCTCCAAAAAAACCTCTGCATTCTTATAATAATATCCACACTTCTCTGAAACTTCTGCATTTTTTAAATCCCTTTCCAAAATCCAAACAATCAGTTCATATATGCTACAATCACTGATCTTCTTTGAGACCATCATCAGTTCCATAATAGATCAACAGGTATTGGACAACACAACAACCCACTTTAGTGACTAGAAATCAGTTCATCTTCTTTGAGACCATCATCAGGCTACAATTGCTGATCTTTGATCACAACCATCAAAACCATGTAAGCTTGCTATCAGACATACCCCCTCAAGATCCCTTGTTTCAAATTCCATAATAGATCGGCAGGTTTCAAATGAATAAAAGACAGATGCACTTTCCCAGTAAACATCAATAATCTCAAAAGAAATCAGAAACAAAGAGTATGGGGCTAAAATTACCTGAACACCAGATATAGCCTTCACAACTGTCGACTTTCCATGGGCCACATGACCAATAGTTCCTACGAATATTGTTAAGGGGATGTTTCAGATTTGTAAGCAGAACGCAGACTTTTTTCCGAATATATTTGTAACTAAGATGTGAATTACCAATATTAATTGTAGCTTGTCTGGAAATAACTTCGGATGACAAAGGATGTAGTTTTGTCACATCCAACTTGCTCAAGTCCTGTTCCATCAATCCTTTGCGCGCCATATTGATCACAGTAGTTTAAGTTCCCCTCCCTCAAAATTCCTACAATACATTATTCAGCGAATAAGTAGTGTCCTAAACTCTTTACAAAAAAAAAACTCAACGTTTACATCTAGGACATACTTTTGTATATTAATCTGTGGAGACTGAAAGGATTTTGGTCACTCAAATTTATCAATCAATTCGTGGAAAGGGATAAGCTAAGAAAACATCGTATAAAACATTTCATGTTAATTGTTTCATCGAGCTTATGCTTTTACCAATATCAAGATAACCGGTGCAAAGTATATGCTAATACAAAAGTAATCGGTCCAAATAATAAGATTATCGATATCCCACATTTAGTTATTGATTTGTAAACAATTATAATTCATAAGCAAAGTAAATATTAAAAAATACTAATGCAAACATCAATAATAATACACTAAAACTAGAATAATAAATCCAATCCCAATTTAAGATACACCAGATTAATCAGGTACAAAATTTCATAAAATTAGGTAAATTAAAATTGTAAACATGAATTGAAAACATCAAAAACGAAAATTCCAAACCCTAACCAATTAAATAAATCAAAGTTCACCATAATTGCTGACATCTTAACCAGATTTTTTATCAAAATTAAAATAAAATAACCCATTAACTCCATTTTCATAGCTAATAAAACCCATTAAAGAATTGGAAAAGTTCTAAGAATGGAAACGTGCATTCAAACCATTAAAAACGATAAACTTCAAACCCTAAAAATAAATTAAAGTTCACCATAATTGCTGACAAATCAACCAAATTTTTACCAAAATAAAAAATGAATAAATAAATAAAAACCCATCAAACCCATTATCATAGCTAATAAAACCCATCAGACAATTGAAAAGTTTGGTCAAATTAAATCAAAAAAATTGACTAAATTGTGAGGAATTAAGGGGGAAGGGAAATTACCAACCTTGAAAAAATCAGAGAGATCGTGTGAAGGAGAGAGAAAGAGGATTGATCAGGTAGCAGTGAAGAATTAGGAATCTGCGAGCTCGTCGTTGTCTTCGCCGTCGAATGATGAGTGAGAGAGAGTGAAGGAGATAGGCGATAGAGGCGGAGGATTAGAATTGAGGGTTTGTAATTCTAGGGTTCTTCCCAACTCTTTCTTATTTTTCTTTTTTACTACTTAAAAAAAAAAAAATTTTATGGGGTGGAATCTTAATCGAAGGAATATATTACTCCTATGTCAATTAAAAAGTTTAAATGACACTTTATGAATTTTATTTTTATATTAATACTATTACTCGTATTATAACCGTAATTATCTATTTGAAATCACCAAATATTAAGATTAGCGAGTTGTTTTAGTAACCTAAATATGGGTTGAATCCAAATTAGTAAGAGTTTAATGGGCTTTATTTTTATTTTTTACTTTGTATTTTTTTTAAAGAACAAGCTCTAAATTATAGGTTTAAATTTTGCTCCATATGTATTTCCATTTTTTTTTTGGACAGGATATTTTCATGTTTTTTAACATAATGAGATTACATGAAAATCAAAATTCGTTGAATAAAAAATGAGTGTCACGTAGCATTAAAGATGGCACTGTGTTAGGTTGGGTCAAGGCATGACACGCCCCACAAAAAAAAAAAAAAAAAAAAAAATAACGTTACAATGTGTGTTGGGACATGGGTCGTCTTTATTTGAAAGGAAGAACAACAAAGCATGCTAAACTCAATGATATTTGGTTTAGGCACAGAAGCACGACACCGTGGCATGTGGTCTTGTGTCGGGCACGAATCATTCTTCTGGAAATTCAACACGACACGTAATTCATGGACTAAGCCTAGATAACTCCAAAAAATGTGGACTCGACATGACCCACAACCATCTTTACATAGCACATGAAGGTTTTAAATTGAGAAAAACTTTCATGTGTTACAAAGTCAAGATGAGCATACATTAGAACCAAAAAGTTACACTTAGCTTGATCACCTCTAAATCTCAACACCATTTATCTTCATAGCAAAATACAACACATATAAATATAACAGACGTAACTTGAATAACCCCACATTTCAATAAAAATACACATACACTATCGTTTTTATTTTCTTCCTTTTATAATTCTTGGATGGAATATATTGGCCTAATAACTTAGTACAAAAACACACTCCAATATTCAAGCAACTTCTTTCATCAATTTCATGCAATCAAAAACTTTCAACTCAAAACAAAAATGTACTATTGGAATTTACTTTATGGTGACAAGATATTTTCATTAATCAAATTTCGGTGACAAGAATAAAAGTCTAGTAAAGCTACTATATAAACTTGAAAGGCCATAATCAATTTTAGAGTCAATCAAGACCTAAACTCACAACCTCGTCTTTGAGAGAAACAACTAAATAACCAACTAAGTCATATAATTTAATTATTACCTTTTTTTAAGACAAACCTATAATATCATGTATATTAGAGAAGACAATTCAAAGGCAACTGATTAATGCCTCCAATTAATCTTTCACAACACAAACGAGTAATAGTATTGTTAATCTTCATCAATAAATATATTCCTTGATTGTCTTTATAAAAATAAAAAAATAAAAAAAATAAAACCTTGATTCATCTTATCTTGTGAAAAATGTAACTTTTTTTTTCCCGCATGACGTTGAACAATTAGAACCTAATGATCTATTGTAATATACACTACACAACATCCAATATCAAGATTGGAGAAATAAAGCCATCACTGAATTGCATATGTCAAGTACCTAATTTTCATGTCAAAACATAATGATCACAAATCACCTACTCGAAATAGAAATTATTATAACAGTGTACATACACGAGTTAGGAGAAATTAAACACGATTCATCTTAGGGTGGAAATATTGAGATTAATTGGCTGTATTAGCCTTGTTTTTCAAAACAAACATCTAATACAATTAATGGGTACGAAAAGAAAAAAAATTAAAAAGCAAATGGCCAACACAATGTTTACAAGAAGCTATAAGCTTTCAAGGCCCTCGGAATTTAAAAGAAAAAAATAAATTACACTCATACAAACAACATTTTCATCATAAATGCCCTGAATTATGCGGAGTAAAATTCTAAAACACAAATCCATCCAATTCTGGACAGGACATTATATGTACAGAAAGGAAAGATGACAGATTGACAGGACCATATAGAAAGTTAGCCATTGCAATGCCGTAACCAGGATTTCACTCCTGTTGAAATTCAGGATTAAATGCAAGAGCCTCGCGATAGATCAATTCCCTCATCTGCTCCTCCGACAAAGCATGTTGCTCAAAATCAAAGCAAAAGGGAGACATGCATATTGGCTCGTCACTGATGTCATGCAGCGAGTTCAGGTAATGATGTGCTAGTGCATCTTCAACTGTAATACATAAAATAGTAGAAAGTTGTAGCTAAAGAATATAATTCTCCACTCGAATATTAGGTGTATTAATGAAGCCGAAGAAGTATTTTCCATCTCTCTCCTTTTTTTTTGGGATTTGGTATGAATGTGGACATAAAAGTTCCCTACTTAGATTATAGATTGTTGGCAAATGTTTTCATATGTGTAAGTTATTTCAAAGGGAAGTATAAATTTGTAGTTAATTACTTGAAAAACTGATTAGTATCAAACATAAAGATTTATAGTTCAAGAAATGAGAACAGGCAAAACAATACAAACTCAAGTAAGCATCACAATACCAGAAATATACTAAAATAAATTAGACAATTGTATAGAGAAACAAGTTGTAAAATATAATATAATATCCAACACGCAGAAAAAATTCCAGAGAGCATACATGTGATAGGGTCTGCTTTGTCAATAGGTTAGTAGGTATAAGGACCATAGAGACAACTTCAAATTGAATTATATCAAGTTAGTAGGTTGTGCAGTACCAAGTGCAATTTCCTACTAACCTACTAAGCCAGTAGATTGCCAATATTTCTTTTGGCAAAGACAAGTCATTAATAGATGGCAGATCACATGTTTACTAAAATAAATCCTAGACATGACCTGTATAAAAGCAATTGACCATTACTTCGTGATAGAGAAATTATCCTAGGGTCATATGAGCTGTCCTTAGTGACAGTCTCACCTTGAAAGGAGATTCAGAGTATCATTGGGTTTTTTCACAGTTGAGTTGTATGCATCACTCACTAACAAAGGAGGAACATAGAGACAAGGGGGCCATGCTATCAAAACTTACTAGTATGCTAATATAACAGACTACTACTATATTAGCAAATTGATAATTTTGGCCCAGTTTAACAAATTAGGTACTGAATTGCAAACCAATCTGCATCTCATTCTCATAAATTAGGAAGCACTAGTCATAACTCAAATGAGAAAAATCTCAAACACTTTTGAGACTTTAAATAAACCTTAGCCTACATCAGAACTAAAAAATAGAGGAGTTTGGCAAGGCTTTTGGATGTTAGAAAAAAAAAACAAAGGAAAGCCGCTGTTTGAGAATAACGTAAGCAGTCAAGTCCAGTTCATTACTAATAATCACACTGCACCATACAACCAATTTGTTGTTAGTGCTACGCACAGCCACGCTGCATGCTCCAACGAGGTTATTTGAATAATAAAAAATAAAAAGCAATCAAAACATCCAGCACTCATTTACATGACCTTGGAGAATCACCTAGTTCATTGAAAAAAGCTCTTGTAGCTTGGAGAAGAAAGGTTGGCTTGATGAAGTGGAAGATAGTATTGTTGACAATTTTGTGGTGCACTTGGAAAGCAAGAGAAAAACCAATGGGTTTTGAGGGTATAGCCTCCCTTAATCAAGGTTTAAGTTTCTTTTTAGACTTTTTTGTATTGCTGAAGCCATATATTACAGTTTTAAGTTCTTCCCTGATTATGTAGATATATTGCTCCATGATAGGTCTACAGCATGAGTTGTTTGGTCCTTTACCCTCCACCACAAATTAATAGTAAAGTACATTTTTAAATAGCAAGGTTTTCTGATTAGAATACCCAATATGGAGCTACTAAAAAAGTGACTGGAGATCATAGAAATAACACAATTATTAGTAAGGGTCTATCTATACTAACATGCCATATACTATATTATAAGGGGTCAAGACAACATGAAAACTGAATTCTGACACACTTGAGCTTCAATTCTCCCTAATTTATATTGCCACAGTATTCTCCCACCCTATAACATCCGCCGAATTTCATACATGCAAAATTTGTTCAGTACTAGGTCGGCTAACGAGCGCGATGCACGCATCATAACTAGCCATGTCCGGTAGTTTTTCGGTTTAGCGTTGTTAGTAACGTTAATTAGGTTAAACATGTGAACAAATATTTTTAGGAGTATAAATATCCACATGCTATTCTTAAAAGTTCAAAAAAAAAAAAAAAACAATTAACATTAATGAGGGCAAATATATTAATAAACATTTTAGAGACATAGTCGTCTCAAGACTCTCAACACTATTCATAATGTGTGGTCATATTTTAAAAAGGGGTAAATACGTATATAAACATTTATAGGGGCATAATAGTCACAACACTATTCATAAGAGTTTACTCATACTTTTAAAAAGGTAGGGATATCTATCCAATATTTCAATGTCCAGTCAGAATGCATTTCATCTCCTTTTTATAGTACTTACAAGTTCTTGGAATTTTGCTCTACTCTACCTTCCCTTAATTATTTTTAACAATTATTTCCCCATTTATTTCCCTATATTTATATTTAAAGGGATTTTTAACAATTATTTCCCCATTTATTTCCCTATATTTATATTTAAAGGGAAATAATTGTCAGTGTAGTGACCAATGACAGGAGAATGAGCTCCAGTGCAATTTATTGATTACCCCTTAAGTCCCCATCTAAAAATTATAATAAACATAAAATTGATCATTAGTACATCCATGTCTTGATAATTGATACCATGAAAGTTAAGCTCATTTCCAAATGGGACATCTTTCGGAGATAAATTCAATTTACCTGTTATTCTCTGTCTGGGGTCAAATGTCAACATCTTCTCAATAAGATCAATAGCTGCTGGATGTACATGTGGAAACTTCTCAGATAATGACTGCCTTCTAAATGGAGGGAGCTGACGAATATATCTTTTAGCATTTTCATTAAGAAATCCTAGCTCATGTTCTGAAGGGGTGCCAATCAGCTGCAAAGTACAAGTCAACATACACTTTTAGCCAGAGATAATACACTGCTACAGCAAAGAAAGTTGGTTTGTAGACCAACGCTTTCAAAAACAGAAGGCTATTCAAAAATAAAAAAGATGTTTGTCAAGCTAGCTAATGCTTAAGTGAGAAGCCACCATTTTCTTCCTCATGTTGACTAGTAATTCTGGTATAATTGGCATTAGAAATTGAAAGAAAAATTCAACATTTAAAAACTAAAACTACAAGAGGGGTAATAATAATTCACAATAAGATACCCAGTCTCACAGTCAATATACCTCCATGAGCAGGCGTAACTGGTGCACATGATCTCTGCCTGGAAATAGAGGCTTACGGTCCATCAACTCCATAAATATACAGCCTACTGACCATACATCGATAGCAGCTGTATAATCTGAAGAATTCAATAATAACTCTGGTGCTCGGTACCATCTTGTCACAACATATTCAGTCATAAAGTCAGTCTCTGATGTTACTCGAGCTAGTCCAAAATCACAGATTTTTAAATCACAGTTGGCATTAAGCAAGAGATTGCTAGGCTTTAGATCCCGGTGAAGAACATTGGCAGAATGAATGTACTTCAATCCACGTAATATCTGGTAGAGAAAGTACTGCAAAAACAATATTTTTCAGAAAATGTGCAAACCACAATTCAGTAGATGAGGTCATGAAGAGTACTATTTTTAACACAGACAACATGTACATATAGTACTCCTTCCATCCCTAAACAAGTGTCACTTTCCAACATTTAGCACACACTAATTCACATAATCTGCAATCAAGGCTATGTCACTTGGTTGAAAAATCATACTCCTTCGATGGGGACGGAGTGTCATTTTCAAAATGAGGAAGTAGAGATGAGCCACTTTTTAAGGTCAAGAGGGATATCCTAGTCAAAGATATGATCGGGAACCTGATATTACTATTACAACTCTGTGTGTGTGTGTGCGCGCGCGCGCACCGGGGGGGGAGGGGGGGTACGTTCTGGATCTGGATCATTGTAGATCAAATTTGGCAAGTTACAAGAGCATGAAACAAAGAAGAAGAGTTACAGAAAGATAAAGGAATGGGGCCTAGTCCAAGAAATGTAGAGATGTTAAAGACAGCACCAAATTCATAGGTTCTTGATGACCCTTTTGGGAAAGTTTTAAGCAAAGTGTTTGCACAAACCAGATGTGACTTATAAACCATTATAGACAATCTTGGACAAAAAGCTGATAATAAGAGCCAAATAAAATAGCTCATTTAATTATGACTCACGGCTTAGTCTACACACACAATTCATCCATCAATCATAATTCCAAACTCAACTTTGTTTGTATTCCATGAACTAGGCAAGGAAATGAGAGAGAGCTCCTGAAGATGAAATAATGCAGAGAGTATCCATTTTTCAGTTGCTACAATAAGGTTAGAGCTTTGACATCTTAAGGTATCTTAATTATGATACAAAAAGGCGGTAGACAGCAGTTCTATGTTGATGCTCTACGTTAATAGATTGGGAGTTTTGGGACTGAAGAACAAGTAAACTTAATTCTACGAAAACATAAATAATGCACACCCTCTTACAGAATATTAGGAACATGAACTACAAAAGTACATATTCCAACATAGATATCATCATAAACAACAGACCCTCTTCTGGCCAAAATTGACTAAGACATATATAGGTCTAGATTAATGCCTAAAAATAAGCAATTTCTTCCTATTCTTTCTAACTAAAGTTGGAGACTTGGAGCCAGGCATTGCTTTGCACCACCATCTATAATGCTATGAAAGAACTGACAAAAAAGGCAAACTGTCCCAGAGAAATACACAGGATAAAGAGAGTGGGAACAGGAACACATTTGGTCATCTGTCTGGTCTCAACTAGATGATAACTTAATTCCTACGAAGAGTGTTATGTAAGATGATACCTGACAATGCTCTTCTGATAATCCCTGGTTTGAACGGATGATTTGATGAAGATCAGTGTCCATCAGTTCATATGCAATATATACATCATTAAATGCCTCCCTTCGAGGAGGTGGTATAATGTCTCTAATTGCAACAACCTGCAAGGAGATTGCAAATAAAAAATGAATACTAATAGATTAAATTTCATGGAAGCCTTGGAGAGAAGATAAATCAAATAATTTACAGAACTACCTATATTGAGTAGATATAAAAGTGGAGAATCAAGGAGGAACTATAAAATAAAACAATCAGAATGTAAATATAAAAGCTTCTCAGTCAAGGCATGCAAGCAGTTCTAATAGTCCACCACAAGATTATATATATAATAGATTTTCTGGGCCAAATTATAGGAACAAATTTAGAGGTAAAGACCACTAAGATTTATTTCGGTTGATTTGGTTCCTTAATTGACTAGGCCAATGGAAATCATCCAAATATGGACATGGATAGTGCAACTACAAGAAACCTTGAGGATTACACCAATTTGAATGATAAACACAAGATCTGCAATTGAGGATAACCCCTTCCTAGCCAAGTAATAGTAGGTCAAAGATGCTTCTTATACTGTTACTGTCCTAGAAATAGGATAAAAGAATCAGCTAAATAATCCTCTGTGCCCCTGCTACTTACGGAAACAATCTTGTGGAGGTTATAGATTTCTAGACATAATAATATCAGGATCTATTAGCACAGCCTCCGGAAAAAATGTAAGCATGAAGAACGAAATTAACCATATAAGTACTTTATAATATCTAGATTTATTAGTGCAGCCAATAAAAAATAATGTAAGCATGAAGGACCAAATCAACCAAATAAAGACATCAAGCAAAGAAATTGCTTGCACTTACTAGTTCAATTGGCAACTAGAAACACGGATCCTGGAACGCTGGAATATTTCAGTCCACAGCTCAAGACTAGGTGTCAACTACTTGTCCAAAAATATCGGAATAGGGGTAAAAGCCCATTCAAAGCTAAGAGGGAATATCAATTATAAGATATTGCCAACTAGTTGAAGTGAAATGTATGTAGGATCAATAAATTGACAACTTCTCCATTTGCTTGGATCTCTCTAGAAGTACCCAATTTTTTATCTGTATCGAGTGTCAGGTATGGAAACATATCCATATATAAGACATGTCAAGGCTTTGGTAGTAAAACAAGAATAAGTAGTCCTAGCTCCTATAATTGGATATGACATTCATAAAAGATATACCTAACTTTAATAGAATTGCATGCACTTTTCATGTTACAGATTCATCAATACACATTTCAGAATTCAGATTGACTTATTTGCGAGTTCTTATTATATGTTACAACCCCAAGCCCATTTAAGAGCTAAATCACAAAAACATGATATTCACTTGCCCACTACAATGACTATGTTTTCTCTATAAATACGTCATTTAAGATTGTTAAGATGCTTAGCTGAAAGCTGAAGTGTCGGGTAAGGATATCATACATTTGAAATGAACATTAAGACAAATATATTCCAAATAACATAGGTCTTTATGAAACAAAAGAACAACTAGAATCTAATTACAATAACAACTTTCAAAGTTAAACGTGGATCCTAAAAAATTGTCAAAAATTGATCATTTTCCTTTGACTTGGTAGAATCAAGGATTTTCTTGAAAGATTTTGTCTATCAATTAGAGAAGATTATAAGAAACCGGGGGTGGGGAGCTAATGGTCGTTTTAGCTATGCTTCATAGGCTAAACATGTTTTTAAAAATTTGTAAAGGAAGCAGGGGTGAGGAAGAAGCTAATGGTCGGTTTAGCTATGCTTCATAGGCTAAACAGGAAAAACATATTCTTTGTAACGGCCAAGTATACTGAAATACGCTTGATAAGCTTTAAACAATAAAGCTACTGTATTTGGAAAAACAAAGGGATATGTACAAATTGAACATTCGATTGCAGCGAAGATGGTATTAATTGAATAAATTGCACCAAATTCTGCAAGTTACTTTGCACACAAGATATCGCAATATTACTATCTCCTAAAATCATTAATCAACACCAGATTCCAATCTTCTGCTTTGCCAGCCATACTCACTTCAACACATAGTTATGTTTTTGTTGCCAATCAAATTGTGTAATGTGAAACACAGCATTTGATGTGAGCTCTTTTTACTCTTATTATCATTAAATCATTTTTGAATTTCTTTTTTTCCGCCCCCAGGGGAGGGGGGACACAAGGGGTATAATTTTATTGTTATATTATATATTTTCGTGAGTCATGAACATCAGTTAAAAATCCTTGATATTTTTCTTGTTTCTTTAATATCTTTTGATTGGATTTAAAATAAATCATTGTACATCAAGGAACAAAGATAGAGACTTGTTGAAGCTAAAAACATCAATATTGTGCAAATAGTGGCCCTTTCAGACTCAATATTGAGCAAATACTGAAGCAACATTGATGACAAACTCTGTTCTCAGGTGCTGAGAGTTCAAGCTTGTGAGCATTTTATACAATAAGATTATCTTTTGATTGGATTTAAAATAAATCATCGTAAATCAAGGAACAAAGATAGAGACTTGTTGAAGCTAAAAACATCAATATTGTGCAAATAGTGGCCCTTTCAGACTCAATATTGAGCAAATACTGAAGCAACATTGATGACAAACTCTGTTCTCAGGTGCTGAGAGTTCAAGCTTGTGAGCATTTTATACAATAAGATGAATCGTGGTGTAAGAGCAAGCTTCTGACCAACCAGAATTTTCAATATCCCAGACAAAAAAACAATTCTTCAATATTCCCATCTTTCACTTAAATCACTAGTCAGTTCCAACTTCTAATTGCTAAATTGCTTTGGAAAGGCTAGCAAATTACAGTCTCATGATGAATATCAATCATATATGATATATCTTATTACTTTTTCAGAGTAGAGAAAAATTAAGGTGGAACTTATCTCCATGCATCTTATGTTGCACTGAATCTTCATCTTTCCCCTCTCTTCTAAAAGCATTTTATACAGAACCAATTCTTAGTAAGAAGAAACAACACAAAACACACAGAGTTACATGGTTCAATGTCCATGGGGAGGCGAGAGAAACTTTTATTGATCTTGAGGGCATACATAGAAATAAACTAGGTTATAGAACCTATAGTTGTAATCCCAAAATAGAAATGGAATTAGCCCTGAATATAGGCCCAAACAGAAAACAGTTGCCCAATATAACAATATCGTAGTTTTGAACCCCCTCCGTGTTGGGTTGTTTGTAACGGACAAACAGATGGAAGGCATTTTCTAAGACTAGGGCAAAAGGTCAAGAAACTTACCATTTTATTCTACTGTTCTTCTTTAGAACAGCTTTGAGCACAAACTTCTTTTGGTTGTATATAGAGGAACAAAGATGGAGGAAAAATTCAGATCTAGGTGCTCCCATAAAAAATCAGGTGTGCTACAGTGTTGAGCAATAGCATATGCTTTCCTATTCACATGCTTAGGATTCACATGCTTAGGAAATCTCTACTTGACTTTCATTTAATGCTCTTTTCTTTTTCTAATAGATCACCTTAATCACCTTCCTTTTCTGCCAATCTCCTGTCTGGTGATGCAAATGTCAGTGAAATTTAACCTAAGCACCCTGTTGTCTTTGTAGAAAGTATAATTTTTACAACCATTATGAGTATACCTACTTTTGTTAGGAAAACATATGTCCTTGTTTAGTATCGTATTTATCTTCCCATCTATCTCTCTTCAAGGTCAGCATCAATGTTGATTCCATAATCCTACCGTGAGCCGAAACAAATACAAATTATAACATGAAAGTAGTATATTCACGGGTCTCATCTCATGGCCTAATCTAACAAATTAGGTAATGAATTGAAAACCAATACCCAATCCCAGGCAAATAGGTATTATTGTCAGCATCAATTACTCTAACCATTAATATTATTATGCAGGATCTAGCACATCAAGTATCAAAATACACCTGAGCATCCACAAAATGTGATTAATCAACAATAAATCTTGTTAATCAAGCAAGTACAATGATTTTGCAAATATTCTGAACGATTTACAAAAGATATCCAAGCAAATGAAGAATGAAAAGGGCACAAAAATGTTGTCCGCTTAATCTCCTGAAGCCAATGCTAGACGCCTAGACCTAATCTTTTATTTAAAAGTTACCACCTCTATATGCAGTCAGAAAATTCTAAAAATGAAAATTTATTGTATATCCAATATATGCAGTATACTTTTATTTATTCTTGTACATCATTTCACTATGCCAGTAACCCAGACTATTATAGTTTCAAGTGATATATGAACATATCAAAGCCCAACCAAAAAATTGTGCCATGCTGTGTTGCTTGTTTTTCTACTAAATCTATCCTTGAGACCACAAATCTGAACGTAACCCAAACTTCTTAGAGCTCTGCTTAACTTTCAACTATATATCCCATAACAAATATCTATCATCAATTCATATATTTGGCATGGTCTAGTAGAAAGTATCAACTCTCCACCGCCTTACATAGTTACACTCATAAAGATACTCCCACTTTTTTCAAGTGAACACGTGTCCAATAGGATTTGGCATAACATAAATAATGTAACTTTCGAATAAGAAGCACAACCCACTCCAAACCACAAGCTGTTAGAAATTTATAGCAAGTGTAATGCATACCGTTTACATTTTCCCTTGGGTGTTTCTCCCAATAATCCACCCTCATTAATTAAATGGAAACAGTCTTGACAACTCAGACAACCTCCAAAACCCTTAGGGAAAGTATCTAAGAAATTAATGATTATTAATATCACAAAAAAAACTTACAGTTATTACCTAACCAATCTCATCAGCATTATGATCATTCATCAAAATGACTACTTTTTCATAAGCCAAAAAACCTTGATCTGAATATAATCCGTTTTTGATATTGCAGAGTATGATCCTCCACGGAAAGATTATGACTTTTAATGCCCCAAACAACAAAAAAGCGATAAAGAAACCTAACAGCTTTGATGATTTAAGTTGTCCAGTGTCCACACCAATATCTCCAACCACTTCAATCACTCCTGTAAACTAAGAAGAAAAGCTACCGATATCTATAGCGCCTCAAGTTTACAACTTTTAAGTTGATCAACCCCAATTCTTAGTCTAGGGAATTTAAAAAGAAAACAAGTTAAATGAATATACCCCAAACAACATAAATCCCAACAGTATAAATATTGATTAACTCAGACAAACAAAAACTCGAAAACTGGATATTGAAATACAACAATCACTCACTGACGTTTTCATGATCCATATGCCTAAGAAGCTTGATCTCACGCAAAGTCCTCTTAGCATCCACTTTATTATCAAACGCATTCGCAATCTTCTTAATCGCCACATGCTCATTCGTATCCGAATTCAACGACGAACTACACAATAAAATCACCAAATTCAAAATCAAAATCACAATAAATTAAAACAAGAAAACAATCATCATCACATCAAAAACGAGAGAGAAAATCCAATTACCAAACAATTCCATAAGCGCCTTTTCCAATAGGCATAATAGGGGGCTTATACTTAGCAGTAACCTCAAAGATGTTCCCGAAAATGTTGTATTGTATAAACTTTCCGCCATGGCTAAGTGTCGCCGGAATACTAACCTGCTGCTGCTGTTGCGGCGGTTGCTGCGGCGGCTGCGATTGATCGGACGACGGCGGAGGGTGATTTTCCGGCGGAGCTCCGGCGGCATCCATCATGTCGGTGTCGGAGGGTTGTGCAGCTGAGGCATCCATGGTTGTGTGTGTCTGAGCTCTCTGAAACCCTAGAATTGAGAAATGGGGATCTCTTTACTGTTTGTTCTTATTTTCTCTCTCTTACATTAAGCAGTTAAGCTGGTTTTTTTTTTTTTTTGGGTGAAATGATGATTTATTGAATCATCTTAATATTAATATTAATTCATTGATTATTATTGTTGTTTATTTAATTAAACTAAAATAAAGGTAGAATATGCTAAGTACTTAACTAGATTGAGTTGTTTAAGTACTTAACTAGATTGAGTTGTTCTAATGTTAGGTGTTTGTTTTGGATGTTATGGTTAAAGTGGTTTGTTGAATGATTTTGTCATCGTATTATAATTGGTTGTTAGTTGTTACACTACTTCTACAACTTGGGATTATTACAACTTGTGTATTGAGGTTTTGAAAAAACCACATATAATTGCAAAAACTTTTATTAGACGCGGTTACTTGATAGGATTATATGACATCATCACGTTATATAGTTATAGTAACTACATTGTCATAAATAACACAACAATGAGTTTTATTTATGTTTTTTTTAATTAATAAAATTTTTATTTAACATGTCTATAAATAAATGAAAATAATAACGAATTTTATTTAACATATCAAGTCATAAAATTAACATAATTGATAAAATAAATGCAATAATTAGTTTTAGAAAATATAGTTAATACTCTGTAAATGCTACTGAGTTTTATTTATGGTTTTTTTTAATACTAGTACAGTAGTACTATTTATTTGTTTTAGGATATGACTCATCATATATTAGCTTTATTTAGTAATTATTCAGTACTCTGTATTAGTTAGCAATAATGCATTGTTATCATTGTAATTATGAAATATTTAGGATTTTTTTTAAGGTAAGTCAATTTATGCCAAATTAAGTAATACTTTGGGAGAAAGAATACATACAAACATACTCAAAATTAGCACCGATGTCCCATCTTGCCATCCTAAGTGAAGTGGGTTGAGCATATTGTAGGCACGAAAATTTTATTATGTCTCGTTGCATATTGTTTGGGTTAAAGTCAAATTGTTGACTTGTATATTTTGACTTTCGGGCCGGGTTTACTTTGGCCTTTTAGTTAGACTCATTTCATTTAATTAAATGGTAAACCCAACAAAAAATGGTTATACTATTAGTCAAATGAGTTATCCATGAAATTGAGTGGAAAATGATTTTCGAGCTAGTTAAAAAAGGGGTTGTTACGTGTTAAAACAATAGCCTAGAGCTCTATAAAAAAAGCCCTCCCCTCTCAATTGATACCAATAATAAATCCAAAGAAAAGCCTCTCTAAACCTATAATCTTTCATAAAAAAATAAATAAATAAATAAATAAAAACTGAGAACTTACTAGAAAACATAAAGACCTAGAAGAAGAACAACAAAGCACAATTCTAAAAGACGAATCTTGATTGAGATAATTGAGATCAAGCCTCCTTCGACTTTACAGTGTGGAGATCAAATCAGTGAATCATATTAGAGATTGTATTCAAAATTAAAAAGGAAATTTTGTAAATTACCACCAACAAAATACACCTTTTTTGAAATTACCACCCAATAAAAAATTTACTTTAAATACCACCCCTTAAATTAAAAAACCAATTAAATTCCGGTGAAGTTTTAGACAGTAGGCCCCACTTTTTTTATTTCCTTCCTTTTTTTTCTTCTCTTCTCTCGATTTCCCTTTCTCACTATTCTATTGAACTGCACTATACTCTTCATCCATTCAATTTCTTCATAAATTCTCTGTCAAGTCACCAACCTCCCTCAAATTTATAAAGTAAAACTCTAAAAAAAAAAATTCCTTCTACAAATTCATCACTCTAGTGTACTTTCATGTTCTGGAATATGGGAAAGAAGTAGGAAAAGTCGCCATCTTTTGTAACATGAACCCTAATTGTGGAAAACCCCCAATTTAATTGTGCAAAGAACCCTAATTCAGAAAACCCCCAATTTACCCCAATTTTAATATGCGAAAAACCCTAATTCAAAAAACCCTCAATTTACCCCATACCTGATTGGAATTAAGCGTCTGCACCTGTGGGGGAGTTTTCTTCAAATACAACCTTGCAAAATTTGTGTGAATTTGGTAGAAATTGATGAAGAAATTGTGTACGAGTTTGAAGAGCAGTTTTATGGAGGAAAATGGGGGGAAAAAATAAAAGAGGGTCAAAATAACCATTACTAGTTGTTATGTGGGGCCCACTGTCGGAAACTGCATCGGAAATTTGAAAAAGGTGGGAATTTAATTGGTTTTTTAATCTAAGGGATGGTAATTTAAAATAAAATTTTTTTTGGGTGGTAATTTAAAAAAAGGTGTATTTTGTGGGTGGTAATTTATAAAATTTCCTTATTAAATTTACTGTAATAAAATTATATTTGTTGCATTTATTTTGACTCTTTATATTGCAGAGTCTAAACTTGTGTTTACACATTTAATTTAAGGAATAAGGGGAAGAGAAAAAACAATGGGTTTTGCAGAGTCTATCTCGAGTCGGGTTTGGTTAAGATCATTTAGTTTTAGTTACGTGTCCTGCCTATTCCAATTCAGTTGGTTTTACGAGTAGGCTATTCAATTTCAAATGAAGTTCAAATACAACTCATATTGTTTTGGGGTTTTTTGCTTTGTCCTGCAGGAGAGTTATAACTCTAAGACTGGCTTGTTGAATGTGCTGTACTTGAAACAAACGGAAGCTCCAGTTGTTTGAAGTTCTGCCTCGGACGATCAAGTTAGTATTTAAGGAAAGTACACGAAAAATAAAGGTAGTTCTCTCGGATCCCGAGATAGGAGCAGTAAATGCTTATGTAATAACTGATGAATGGTGGGAATCTAATTGTGATATTTTTTTTCCACTGTAATAAATGTCCCTATTTATAGGGGAGTGGGAATGCGTGCCCCTTTAAGCCAGATTAACCTAGGTAAATGAGCTGCGCCGTTTTTACGGCGTCTCGTAATTTGGGGCCTTGAAAGGCTCCATTTCCCTAATGATGGGGATGCCACGTGTCTTATCCTAGACTTATTTTGAGCGCTGCCTAAGGTAACACATATCACGTTCTGGTTGGTCCACATGTTTAAGGTGAAATTACCCAAGACACTTATTACCGTATAAATTTTATCAAACCTATATACGCGCGGTATTTCATGCATTATTAGATTTATCACGACTTACGATTACCAGCTACAGCTAAGTAGAGTAGCAAGAGTTTTGTTAAAAAAAAAAAAGTAGAGTAGCAAGAGGACATGTTCCATTAATTTTCACAGTAGATATTTTACTAATTTTTGTCCTGAAACTTGTACAGTTAGAAAAATCTGAGATTTTGCTAATACAATCTGCCAGACAACTGAACAATGAATATCCCGCCAACATGCTGAGCTTTTAGCTCCAATTTTATCCACAAAACCCCCTTAAACCCTTCTCCAAAAAACCTCTAATTTCTCTCTAATGGCGATTACAAATTCCGGAACTTTTGCAGTATCAGCTTCACCATTGCACATTGATTCACAATCCAAGGTACGCAGATGCATCCCTTCTTATTGCACTTTAGCTTCTTCATCTTCTTCTACATCAATTGAAGAAACTACTGTTGAAGAATCAACAAACCCTAAAAAATTTAGCTATAGTAGAGCATCTCCTTCTGTGAGATGGCCCCATTTGAAAATCGCTGAAATTCAACAATCTACGCAAACCCATTTCAATTTAACCCATAATTTACCGACCCATTTGGCGAAACCGGCGAATGATTCGGAGGACAGTGAAGAATTTGGGGATGAAGATGATGGGGGTGGGATGGATGATGTTGGGGGTGTTGTAAATGATGAGAATTTAGAGGTTTTGGGTAGGACTAGTAAGACTAAGGTTAAGAAGATGACTAAATTGGCGCTTAAAAGGGCAAAAGATTGGAGGAAGAGGGTTCAATTTTTGACTGATAAAATATTAGGGTTGGGGCATGATGAATTTGTGGCTGATGTGTTGGATAAGAAAATGGTGCAGATGACTCCTACTGATTATTGTTTTGTGGTCAAGTGGGTGGGTCAGTCGAGTTGGCAGCGAGCTTTGGAGGTTTATGAATGGTTGAATCTTAGGCATTGGTACTCGCCTAATGCCCGGATGCTGGCCACAATATTGGCAGTGCTTGGAAAGGCGAATCAGGAAGGGTTGGCTGTGGAGATATTTTCAAGGGCGGAGCCTTCTGCTGGTAATACTGTTCAGGTTTACAACGCGATGATGGGGGTTTATGCAAGGAATGCTAGGTTTTCGAAGGTTCAAGAAATGCTGAATTTGATGAGAGAGCGTGGTTGTGAGCCAGATCTTGTGAGCTTTAATACCTTGATAAATGCGCGTTTGAGATCAGGTCCCCTAGGGCCAAATTTGGGGATGGACCTTTTAAATGAAGTGAGAAAATCGGGTATAAGACCAGATACTATAACTTATAACACACTTATAAGTGCTTGTTCTCGTGAGTCTAATCTGCAGGAGGCAATAAAGGTATATGCTGATATGGAGGCTAATAATTGCCAACCTGATCTGTGGACATATAATGCCATGATTTCAGTTTTTGCTAGATGCGGGCTGGCAAGTAGAGCTGAAAGGATACTAGGAGAGTTGGAGGCGAAAGGGTTTCTCCCTGATGCTGTGACATATAATTCAATTCTGTATGCATTTGCCAGAGAAGGAAATACCGGGAAGGTAGGAGAGATTTGCGAAACAATGTTGAAAAGAGGTTTTGTAAAGGATGAAATGACTTACAACACTATCCTTAACATGTACGGTAAGCATGGAGAACTTGATACTGCGCTGGATTTATATGGAAACATGAAATTGTCTGGGCTAGTTCCTGATGCAGTTACGTACACAGTTTTGATTGATTGTCTTGGAAAAGCCAATAGAATGATTGAGGCTGCAAATTTAATGTCAGAGATGTTGGATAGTGGAGTTAAACCCACTTTGAGAACTTTTAGTGCCTTGATATGTGGGTATGGTAAATCTGGGAATCGAGTAGAGGCTGAAGAAACATTTAATTGCATGCTGAGATCTGGAATTAAACCTGACAAATTGGCATACTCTGTTATGATGGACATCCTTTCGAGGTCTGGTGAGGCAGGAAAAGCCATGGTGTTGTACAGGGATATGGTTCGCAACAATTTTTTGCCTGATCACAAACTTTACCTTTCTTTGATTCAGCTTCTTAAGAAGGAGAACAAAGATGAGGGTCTTCAAAGAATTATCTTAGATATGCAGCAATTGTGTGGTATGACTCCAGTGGATATATCTTCTATTCTTGTTCAAGGTGAATGCTATGATGAGGCTGGCAGAATGTTGAGGTTGGCTGCTGCTCAGGGCTATGATTTGAACCATAAAGACCTATTATCTGTCCTCAGCTCATTTAGCTCATCTGGTCGGCATGTGGAAGCAGAAGATTTGCTTAAATTTATGAGGGATCATGCTTCTTCATCTCAAGAACTTGTTGAAGAGGCCTTGGTAATTGTGTTTTGCAAGGCTAATCAACTTGATGCAGCTCTGGAACAGTACTATAACATAAAGGAGTCTGGCTTATTTAGTGGGAGCTGCATGATGTATGAGTCTCTGATAATGTGTTGCAAGGAATCTGAACTGTTTTCTAATGCATCTCAGATATTCTCCGATATGAAGTTTTTGGGAATTGAGCCATCTTATAATATATATGAGAGTATGGTGTGCATGTATTGTCATATATTCTTTCCGGAGACAGCACAATGGGTGGTTGATGAAGCAGAAGGAAAAGGCATTGTTTTTAAGGATGTTGGCATTTTTGTTAGTCTTATTGAGGCATATGGGAGTATAAAGGAACTGCAGAAGGTGGAGAGTATTGTTGCTCGTCTAAGGAAAAGATCAAAAGTAGTGGACAGGAGGGTCTGGAATGCAGTAATACAAGCTTATGCTGCATCTGGTTGTTATGAACAAGCTAGGGCAGCTTTTAATACAATGATGAGAGACGGACCTTCTCCAACCATCGATACTATTAATTTGCTGATGCAAGCTTTAATTGTGGATGGGAGACTAAATGAGCTATATGTGTTGATTCAAGAGCTTCAAGACATAGGTTTTAAGATTAGTAAAAGCACCATCCTTTTGATGCTTGAAGCATTTGCAAAAGCTGGAAATATATTTGAAGTAAAGAAAATATATAATGCGATGAGGGCTGCTGGTTACCTCCCAAACATGCATCTCTACAGGATAATGATTGGGTTGCTATCCCGAGGAAAACGAGTGAGGGATGTTGAGGTCATGGTTGCTGAGATGGAAGAAGCTGGATTCAAGCCCGATCTTTCAATGTGGAATTTATTGCTGAAAATGTACACTAGCATTGAGGATAATGAAAAGACTACTGAAGTGTTCAAGAAGATTCGAGAAGCTGGACTTGTTGCTGATGAGGACACTTACAATACTTTGATTCTGATGTATTGTCGAGACCGAAGACCTGAAGAAGGTTTACGTCTGATGCATGACATGAGAAGGAGGGGTATGGATCTGAAATTGGACACTTGCAAAAGCTTGATTGCTGCCTGCAGCAAGCAGCAGCTTTCAGATAAAGCTGAGGAACTCTTTGATGACTTACAAGCAAAAGGGTTCAAGTTGGATCGGTCTTTTTATCATTTAATGATTAAAATGTATAGAGATTCTGGAAGACATGATAAAGCTGAAAGGCTATTTAACAATATGAAGGAAGTTGGAGTGGAGCCCACCATTGCAACTATGCATTTACTGATGATGTCTTATGGAAGTTCTGGACAACCTAAAGAAGCTGAGAAGGTCCTTGATAATCTCAAATTATCAGGTTATAATCTTAGTACATTGCCATACAGCTCAGTTATTGATGCCTTTCTGAAACAAGGAGATTATAATGCCGGAATTGAGAAGCTCTTAGAAATGAAGGATGATGGTTTAATGCCTGACCATAGAATATGGACTTGCTTTATCTATGCTGCAAGCTTGTGTCAGAGTTCAAAAGAAGCTATGGCTCTCTTAATTGCTCTGCAAGATACTGGTTTTGATCTTCCAGTAAGGTAGCTATTTGTGAAACGTCCAACCAATGACAATACTACATGATATTTTGTCTACTTAATTTCTTTCTATGTGATCAGCTTTATGATATATGCTGATGAACATGACTCCTAATTTACAGGCTTCTCACTGAAAATTGGGAATCATCAGTTACAATCTTGGATCATTGGATTGAAAGATTAGAGCCACTTGAGGACAATGCTGCATTTAACTTCGTGAATGCTTTGGAGAACCTGTTGTGGGCATTTGAACTCCGGGCTACAGCCTCATTGCTTTTTCAACTGGCAGTAAAGAGGAGAGTTTATAAAGATAATGTGTTCAGGTACAAGTTATAAGATTTTAACATGTCAGTATGTTACTATGGTGCTCAAGAGATAATTGTTATGTTTAATTTCACAGTTATGCCTCTACGGGATGTTTGGCAAGTGGGAATGAGAATTTGGGGATTAGATGGTAGGAATGGGATTGAGAATTTAAAGCAATTTCCAGGTTTGGCTAGTCATGAGAATAAGTTGGGAATATATTACAAATTTGCTGATATAGCCTTACTAATATTTTCCCCCCCTTTCTTTTAAGGGTAGTTTTGTCTTTTAATAGTTAAAAACAATTCCCAATCTTAATACCTACCCCCCGTAATATTTTTTGGGACATAAAATCCCATTTCCACCCAAACTCCCTCCTACCATATTTTGTTTGTATGAAATGCCCTTATTAATTATTTAATTTAATTATTTGTTTCATTATTGTGTTTTGCAGAGTTGCTGAAAAAGACTGGGGGGCTGATTTCAGGAAATTGTCTGCTGGTGCTGCTCTTGTGGGCCTTACATTATGGCTTGACCTCATGCAGGCATGTTTTCCTTCTTGATTTCCTTTAACAAATTAACAGTGACCTGAAGATGATGAAGTCATAGTCTTGAGTGTCTAATTTGTGAAGGTTTGTTTCAAATTTGTCTTATAAGCAATGCCAGGTTAAAAGCTTGAAGACACTCTCCCCTCATATCTTCTTCCTGCTGCAGATTCTTTAACTGCCTGACTTATAGGAAAATTAACTAAGAAAGGAACCTAAATTTGACTTTCCAATAAGGGTCTTCCAATTTGTGCCACTCCCTATGTAAATGGACAAAGAATATTTCTATTTGGGTTCATCGTTCAGGCGTTCACCTGTAGGTAAAGGCAATGACCTATGTGACGTCTATTTACTCCATATCACTTTCTGCACTAATACTTTTGAACATCGTGAAATAATGACCTGGCCTAGTGGTTGTACCTTGAATTCAAGGGCAGTGCACTAGGTGAGCTTGGTCCAGATTTTGCAAAGATAGTGAACTGATATTTTGCGATTTGCAAAGAAAGGGAACTCCCACCATATTAGTGATTTTGAGTGACATCTTCAACATTGCTTTTTCCATGGTTGATAATTGTTTGTCAATGCATGAAGTGAGAGTATTAGAGAGGCCTTAATGTCTGTTTCTAGTGTATTGGAGATAACATCATGCCATTTAAGCAATGGCTACAAGCCTACAAGTCTAATAATGGTTAGGTGTCTTGGCTGATTCAAGGACACTAATATGTGTTTAGCACACCTCATTTGTGTCTACGGACAACGGGATATAGAAAGGGCATAACTCATGAGAAGCAAATGATCATGGAAAAGGTCAGATTGATAAACCAGAATACCAGATATTGTGAAGCTGGGTGCTTATTTTAAATTCAATGAAAACCATTTTGCAAAGTAGAGGCATGAACCCTGATGATGTGAGAACTCATGTAATGTATCGATAATCTAATAGAGTAATAGGGCATCTATAAAGTTGTATTTTGTGTATTGGTTACTGGGATTGATCGTCAATCCCCAAGTTCCAACCTGCGAGCCCCTAATAAAATGCCATTTTTTTAGTGTAGTGATCCTAACAACTAGGCATTGTGTTTTTCTGGTGGTGGTAGTGGTGTGGAGGTGGTGATAGTGGTTTGACTAGGTTAGAGGGCATCCTTATAGTTAAGGGTTGACAAGTCTTTTTGCATTCCTAAGGTTCTGGGAATCCATAAGTATGGATAAAGATCGAACCCTTTAAACAAAGGCTATTTAGCCGGTTAGCCCTTTGGTTAAGTCAAGGACAACTCCGTATGGTTAGCTTTCATTTTAAATATTTTTGGGGAGTGGGGGGATGGAGGCGTAGTTTGGATATGATTTGAGGTCACAAAGAATCTTTAGATTGTATTTGCTAGCACGCACACATGTACATGATTTGGAAAACATGTATGTACGCCACTGAAAAACTGAAAAGTGATAAACGCTAGTCAAATAGTGATCTAAGGGCTTAAATTTTGGAAAGATGGAATGTATATTGGGTCCATTTCTAGAACACAGTACTTTCTGTTATTTCTAGCATGTGAAATTTGGAACATATTTGGAGTTGCAATATTGTCCTGTAATGTCTGCTTTATAACTGTTTGGTGTTGCACTGATGCTATGCCAAAACAGAGTAGAATAAGAGATTTGTGTGGCATTTTGTAACTTGAAAGTATCTTCAAATATTGAGGTAAATTTAAATCCACAATTTCGTATATATTTCAAAGGCATTTTCAAGTCCATGAGATTCTTATGATGATTTGTAAGCTATTAGGCACCTCCAATGGTTGTAGCTAGGGACTTGCTTGCAATTTTCAAAAGTCTCTAGCTATTGGCTTGACTATTGGAGCTAAAATATCTAGTTAGCTTGCCCAAGATAATTTGCTTGTGAAAAAAATTTCCAAAAGATGGGAGATTGGTTATTAATAAAATTTAAATTAAAAAACTAAATAAGAAACTTGAGCTCATTTATATAACAAGCTAGTAGCTAACCATTGGGGTACAAACTAGCTATAAAGGGAATTAGCTTGAAATCTTATGTGGCATGGGCTAATTTGAGAATTAGCTTGCCATTGGAGATGCTCTAGTGTCTAGACTGTACAGATATGGAATTTCTGAAGTATCTGACTTCATGGCTGATTGAGCTAGAAGTTTATATAAATGCATTTTTTTCAGATGCACTGTTTTAAAACTTTCTTAACTGTGCAGGATGCATCACTGGAGGGTTCACCAGAATCTCCAAAATCGGTTGTTCTAATAACAGGGACAGCAGAATACAATATGGTCTCACTAAACAGCACATTAAAGGCATATCTTTGGGAGATGGGATCACCTTTTCTGCCTTGTAGGACAAGAAGTGGACTTCTGATTGCAAAGGCTCATTCCCTTAGAATGTGGTTAAAAGATTCCCCATTTTGTTTCGACCTTGAGCTGAAAAACGCTCCCTCAATTCCACAGTCAAACTCAATGCAACTTATGGAAGGATGCTTCATGCGACGTGGCCTTGTTCCTGCTTTCACGGATATTGCTGAAAGACTTGGAGAAGTGCGACCAAAGAAATTTGCAAGATTGACATTGTTGTCAGATGATAAAAGAGAAAAGGCCATTCAAGCTGACATTGATGGAAGGAAAGAGAAGCTAGACAAGATGAAGAGTAAGGGCGGTGTAACTTTGAAAAGGAAAGTGGGGCACCAGAAAAGAAAGTTTGTAAGGAAATCAATGGCATCAAACACCAAAAAGATGCTTCCTCGGTGATTGTTGCTTCCAAATAAGTGTGATTATATCTGTCTGTCGATGAGATGTCTTTACCCATTCTTCAAGGGTAAATCTTATGCTTTTTGCAAGCCATAATTGGGGAAACTTGGGCACTGCGGCAAAAGCGGGTTTCATAGCTGTTTCTGCCTTTCATACTTTCTGGTGATTGATGATCTGAGTGCTATCCATAGAGCTCACTTCAAAGGCATAGCACGGTGCTTTTTTCAGACAATTTTGCACAGTATTGTCTGCACATATATGCATGATGTATGAAGCCAAAGGACTGTTTCACACCAGAGCTGCTGCTAATATTTCAGGTCAGAGATTGTACTTAATTCTCATGATGGATTTGTATTTTGAAAAATTATAGTAGGGAATCAGTTTGCTGCGTTGGTTCCATAAATCTTGATATCTCTGCTGACTAATGATTTGATGTTCCTGTGGATCTATGTGGTGGGGTGGGGAGTGGGGTTGTTCTTGTAGTGATAGTGATTATAACGCTCATGATAGCAGTATAATTACTACGCCTTGTTCTCTTCAACTTACACACACACACACAAAAAAAAAAAAAAAAAAAAAAAAAACACTACTCGCAACAAAAATCAGTCTCAATTCGTAAAAAAATCAATTGTACCCAATATAAATTAGTTTTACTTGGTAAAATTTAGTAATTTCATAGAACAAATAACAATCGTGAATCATAAAAATCAGCTTTAATCACTAAAATTGGTTTCAATTAGTTAAAATATTTAAATCAGGTAAGAGAAACAGGGCTTTAGTGGCTTCATAATAGCCATTACATTGTTCATTCTCTTCCCCTTGTTCAAGTGGAAAAGTATCCTCATCAAAGTCCTGACATGTATGTACTGCAGAAGATAAAGCATTATATGCTCCAATTTTTAAAAATCTGCTGCAGATTTAACACTATTTGCTCCAGTTATAACCAATGTACCCATTTGGCTTTGATGAGTATAGCTATGGTCTTGGACTGGAGCAATTAGCTAATTTTCCTAGAGTGGGCATTTAGAATAAAAGATTCTTTCTGATACCATTTATACTGTTATTGGTTGCCCTCTTTAGCTTTCAGAGGTCAATATTTCTCTTTTGAAGGGTATCTTGGCAAGCCTGACGAAAGTGAAACTGTGGTATCACCTGAAAGCTTCTTGTAGCATTGTTACCTCGTCAATAATATCTGTAATTTTGGCCTTTAATTTTCCTTGCATCACCTATGCTAGTTAATGTCTGATGTTTGTAGTTGACTGTGACATGTATGAATAGTATGATGCTTCAAAAACTATTTAATAAAAAGAACTTGATGCCACTATGTCAGGCACTTGTAACCAGCACCTGTATTCTAGTAGTGGCGGCTTGAGTATAAGAAAATTTGAGCATCCTTTCCTTGCAGACCAGAAAAAGATTAACGTTTGGTGGAAAGAGTGGTGACTTGAGAATGAGTTGAAAAATCTCAGATGTAGTTGATCAATAAGGTATATCATTCTTTGCTAACTTTCCCTTTGAATTGTGTTTCCTTGATTCACAACAAACTTTCCGTTGAACTTTTTATTTTTCTCTGAAAGGATCAACAGCAACAAGTTAAAGAATTATGGGAAGTGATGACCAGCGATGTTTCCAAGTGATTGAAAACAGCAAAAAGCGTTAGTTTACACGAAGTATAAATGATGAGATTTGGGGAGAACCCCATGTATGACCAGCCTGCATGATTCAATCTGGTATAGGAAAAAATCAAATTTCAGAGGCAAGTGAAGCACGACAAAGAGATCAATGCTAAGAAAAGATTGAGACAGCATTACAGGAAGTTAAGTAGATTAAAGTAGGTTTAATTTTCTACTCGTAGTGTATAATTGGATCATGTCTGTTTGCTAAGTGCTGTATTTGGTGCCAAAAAATGGTGTAAATATTGTATTAATGGCTTATTGAGCAATGATCACGAGCCTTCTTTTTATTAACTCTACTTGTTTAGTTTTTCTTTTTTGTGTGGCCGTTCGTGTGTGTTTTGCTATTTCTTTTCCTTTTTATGATGTTCAGGTGGACAGTGATAGTTGAAAATTGGAGTAGTCATCTTGATATTCAGTCTATTGATTTTGAAGCTGACCTCGACTACTACTTGGTAAAAATGACACCGGGAGCCATTGATATACAATTATTCTGTTGTCTGGTCACTCGCATGCTGTGTTCAGAACTCTGCTGTGTGAATATTGAGGACTATTGTTTGTATGAACCCATTTTCTTAACGAAGAACTACCGTTTCGATTCACTAGGGGTGCAAATAGACTCAACACTCAAGTTGTATAAACGAGCTGTGCACAGGTTGCCATAACTATTCTAGAGAATAACACTAGGTCTCGAGTACAATTTCAATTGCAAATCAATGAAATTTGATTTGCTAAATCTTGGAGAAGGATGAACAAATTTCGAAATATTTATTAATATTGTCTTGGTACTTAATATACTATGCAAGATTTTCGTAGAGGGAAATCGTCAAATTGAAAAATGAATGTTCTAACCAATGCAAATGTTCCAAACAAGTTGGTGCTATTTTATTAGATAGCCAAGCAAAGCAAAATCTTTATAACATAAGACTAGTGTCACATTATCAGATCTCTTTTTGAATTTACTAAGTATATGTTTTGTAGTTATATACTTCGTTGTAAAGAGAGAGCTGTAAGGGCAATAATGTAAACGAGATTTAATTCTAAGTTTTGGATACCACCCTCAAAAACTTCAACTAATTTCAAACAAACAAATCGATAGTATGTTTTTTACACATTACACCTTACAAGCTTTCATCTTTATTTTTTTTGTTTTTGGAAAAATTTTCATAGAAAGCCTGCAGATGTTTTTACTAAATTTCAGCTGTCATTTACATACATATAAAACTGAGAGGATATTTTTATTTTTTTTTGACAAGAAGAAAAAAGTTTTCATTAATGAAAGATAGTCAAACGACACTTAAAAACAATTTCTAGGAAATCTAAAATTCCAACACAAGTTCAAATCACCTTAGAACTAGTTACATGGCAGATTCGATCAACGATCGCCTTAATAAAAAACTTCATCCGAAACAATACAATTTGTGAGTTAGCACTAATTTGGCTTGAGATCCACGGATGAATAATTGTTTGGGTGAAAAAACTCATATGGCCTTCTAGATACCTTCGGAGATTATGAAACCATAAATCTTCAATCTTTGACAAACGAACAAACAAAGAAATTAAGCCTAATAGAATAATCATCATCTTAAAGATGAGATCCATTTATTGAAAGCAATTAAAAAAATTTTTGGGGCTTACCACCGGTAAAAACACCGGTGGAAGCCCCTACAAAAATTTACAATTGAGATCAGAAGAAAAGAGATGAAAGAGAAAGAGAGAAAAGGAGAAGAGTGAAGGAAAGCCTTCAAAAAATTAGAAAAAATTAGCAATGGAGGCTAGAAAAACCCTCTCAAAGAAGAAACCCTAGAGGGAACCAAAAACCCTCCCAAAGAGAAAACCTAGAGGGAACAATTGGTAAACTGAGAGTAAGGCTGCTAATTGAGCAAGGCAACTCGTGAGCAGCTCAAACTCGAATTGGTTAACGCTCGGTCAAAACTCGACTCGAGTTTGCTCGTGCTCGCTCGAATCAGCTCGAAACTCGATAAGTGTACAAGAAATTCAATATTTTTTTATTCTTCTATCTTTAAAAACAAACATTTACTTTGACACTTAATAAATTTAAAATAATAAACTTAAGTAGGAAAAATTTATATAAAGAGAATAAAATATAATCAACAAATATTTGAAATTCAAGAGACCTAAACCTTTAAACGAGCAACTCGTGATCGACTCAGCTCGACTCGAAAATTAGCGAATACGAGTCGAGCAACCCTCTACTTGTAATCGACTCGCTCGATTAGCACCCCTAACTAAGAGGATATTTACCGGAACAAATGGAACCACCAAATGTCTCACTTCTCTAATACACATACACTACCGTGGTGAATAGCCTAACTCTGTTAAATTCAGCCATGCACAAATCAGCTCAAAGATTTATACTCCGTACTTTTTTTTTTTTGAGAAAAAATTATACAATTATACTTGCTCAGTCTGAAATTATTATCATGATTAAAAGTGTAATTAAACTACTACTATCAATCAATTACATTATATTAAAGGCGAAACATAACAAGACACTTGGCAACATAATATAAAAAGTTTTCCCTCCAAAATTACTTACTAAAAAAAACTTATTGTTACATAAAAAATAAGGAAAAATTCATGGGAATAATCTCACCTTTGGGTCATTCGTATTTAATAATCCCACCTTTGGATTATTTTTTAATAATCCGATCTTTGGGTGCCTTTAATTTTTATTGGTCCCATTTGACCAAAAACCAGTTAAACCGGTCAAAATTTTTTATTTTGTTTTAATTCATTTTCAATTTTTTGTTAACTTAAAAAAAAAAGAATATCAGCCCCCTTCCTCATTGATTCTGGCTGCCAGAATCCCCGTCCGGCGACCTCTCTCATTTCCGGCCACTCCCTTCCCCTTCCCTTCCCCTCTCTTTCTGGGTGTCGTGTCACCGTTCTTCGTGAACGCACCTTCTAGGTCTTCAATTGGTCCAAGATTGAAGATGCTCCTTGCCAAATTGCTGCAATTAAAGGTTGAAATTGTTGCAATTGGTGGCGAATTGATGTTTTACAGGTGGCAAATTGATGTAGTTTATGGTGTTGTTGGTGGGCGAAGCTAATGGTGCGGCTGGTGATGATGTTGCGGGAGTTGTGGCTGGTGATGTTGCGGTGGAAGTGGTGTGGCTAGTTGTTGTTGTTGCTGCAGACTGGCGTTGCGCTGTTTGGCAGGGGTAAGGTGCGTGAGATGGTGGCAAGCTGGTGCACTAGTTTGAAGTTGTTGTTTGTGGATGGTGTGCAGGTTGGTGATTGGTTGTGGTGTGGTGCGGCTCGGCTCGGTGGTTAATGCGGTCGGTGGCTGGTGGGGTGGGGTTCCTTACTTCCGGAGGTGGAGGTGTGGTGGTGCTGGTTCGTGGTTTCATGGTGCTCGATGGTGGTGCTGGTTCGTGGTTTCATGGTGCTCGTGGTGGTGCTGGGTGGTGGACATGCGGTGCTGGGTGGTTAATTTAATTTTGGTTTTTTTTTCTTTAAATAAATTTAATTTTTTAAAAAAAATTTTTGACCAATCACAGGCCGCCACGTGTCATGTAACCTGTTATAACAGGTTACATGACCTGTGGGGACCAATAAAAATTAAAGGCACCCAAAGGTCGGATTATTAAAAAATAATCCAAAGGTGGGCTTATTAAATACGAATGGCCCGATGGGATTATTCCCATGAATTTTTCCTAAAAATAAGATTGTATCTAAATTATGACTTTTACTTAATACAAAATCTAAGATGAACTTCCTTAAATATCAAATTGCCCATTATAACTATTATTACATATTTAATTATGTTCTTTCACATATAAATCATACTTTTTAATACCGAGTCTATTCATAATATTTTATATCAATTTTTTTTATATATAAATTTATTGTCATTATAATATTTAACAACCGTGCATTGTTCGGGATTTAATCTAGTTATAACTAATTTTGATGGAGATAGTACTTATTTGGTTTCAAATTACAATGAGAATCTCAAAATTTCTTTTATTGTACTGTAATGTATTTAATTTTTTAGTTTATACAATTTGACTTTTACGTATCTCAATTCACAACTTCGATCATTATCTATTATTATGTTGATATTCTAAAAGTGTATACATTGAGATAAACTTCAAAAAAAATTATAAAAAGTACATCACTATGTTTTTGTATATGTATTACAAATTATTGTAAAAGAGAGCACGTGATCAAAGTTAAATCACAAAGTAAGTTAAAAAAGAAAAAAAAACAAAAAAAAAATTGGAGGAGTGCACCATCCAATAATACTCTAATTTCGTATAAGTTAATCCTTTTTTTTTTTTTGAAGAAATATAAGTTATTCCTTACATACAAGTATTTGAATGGATTGGATGATTAGATAATATGGAGAAATAAGTTGTATTAATAATTGGTCAATTGAAGACTACAACGTTATTGGGCAATTGCGAAGTATGACTTGTTAGCAGGTTGTATTAATATCTATGAGGTCTTGATCTAATGATAAAGAATGAGGGCTTGTATACGATAAGTCATAGATTTGAATCCCCTTTCTACATATTTGTAAGGCTAAGTTGTACCACCTTTGTAGTTCATTTGCATCCAAAAAAAAAAGTTAGATTAATTATCTCTTAGTTGAATGTTGCTTGATTGTGTAAAATAATCAATTAGGAGATACTCTTTAATATTTATACAACTATATTTACAATCCATTCTTTCAAAATCCTCATACATCAAGCATTTTGGAATCAAACCTCTCATTCTCTGTAATTAAACACTTATATTAGTGATTTGGACTAATTAAACCTCTATTAACTCCCCAACCTTTTTAACTAAACATCTTAAACATGATTATAAAAATAAATAAAAATAGAGGACTCATATTTTCATCAATATATAATTGTGTTAATTGAACACGCATTACACGCCCCAGGGCCCAGGCTGATAAAGTAATGACTAATGAGGCACGACCGCACGATCCACATGCAGCGAGTATTGCTATGGACCCATTTTGCCAAAAGAATTACAGTACTTCCTTTCCTAAAATAATTGCTATGCACTTTTTTTTTTTTTTTTTTTTTTTTTGTTTTTAGGAAATGCTATGCACTATCAATCATCAATTTATTAAAACAGACACCATGAATGACACGTGTCACTTCCTGATGCTGTATTTTCCCTTCAAAACTGTTTTCTCTTTTATTATTTTTTTATTTTTTTAATTTTCAATTTTTATTTTTTAACTTTTTATTGTAAATATACTTTATATATATTCATCAAATCATTTGATTGTGATTCACTTTCCTAATAAAAATATATA